AAAAAATATTTAAACAAACCTTTTTTAATAAACTTGGAGTCTTTGTGTGCTGTTTTATAATGGATTAGAAGTCTGGACACTCCATCTTTAGGTCATTAGTTGAGAAATATTTGATATTGATAATCGCTCCAACTGTTTAGTGCAATTGAGCATTATCTGCATCGATCCTGTTCCAATTTCTGCTGACGAAACGATTTTGGTGCAAGCTAGACTATTCCACACAGTCTACTTCCATGAAATAGACCAAATCTCGAGGTTCTAGCGATACAAATGTACGCAACCAAGACGTTTCGGTTATATGTACTTACTATCGGCTTAGTAAAAATAAACACCCTTGAGTAGTGGTTTTATTACCGTTCATCTCAAATAATCCTATATATGCATCTGCTTTTGAAATACCATTAATATTTTCTGTCAGTATGAACCACAACGTAACAGTAACTTCGATTTAATTGGAAGAAGGGGCAGAGTGACGTCAGTTGCTGGTAGCCACTTTAAAATATCATTATAACCCTGTCCGATAAGTGGTTTACGGAGTCACATGATCCACAACCTTCCGCAAAATTCAAGTAATGTTTTGACCTTCCGCCTTGGTAACTTTTATTCGGCAGTAGGTGTGGTAAAATGTGAGCCTCTTGTTGTAAGATCAGGCACACAATATCTTCCGTCAACTTAACAATTGTGATAAAAAGCTCGTTTATTTCGTGGGTAGAATAAGCATGACTAATTAGTGGTAGGAGGAGAAATTTCCTTTATGGCTTAATTAATGTAACCAAAAAATCGATAAGTCAAGTTAGAACAATTATTAAAGTTCCAAGAAAGGGTTGTAAGGTTTCGGACAAATGGCCCGATGATTCAATACTTCCTTAGGTATTCAATTCATGTCACTTTTGCACAGCTAAACTATTTATTAAAAAAACTGCAAAAAAGCAACTTGACTTGATTGAAAAAAATGCCTCTGAATTCATCATTTTAATGAGAGTATTCATAAAGATAACGAAAGCAATTTCATTTTTATGAGCTTAACACATGTGTGAATATGAAAGAGGGATTTAATTGACGCGAATCCGCCTTAAACATCTAACTCTTAGTACGTACTTTGTATAAGTGAACAGGGAAATTTATTGATACACTTCTTGTTAGATTGATTGCTATAAAATGGGTGATGGCAGGTGTGTGGAACTTAATTATTTTATTACCAATAGGAACATGGGATAAGAAAGGTGCATGGAAAAAATTATGTGAGGTGGATGGGGAAGGGTGGAAGAGGGGGGGGGGGTGAATGTGTGTCGTAAGGGAGGATGAAGTAAAGACTATGACGGAGATTACGAGAGAGAAAAATAGCATTTATTGGAGAACAACTTGCATATACGCATTTCCAAAAAGAGTAAGGAAAGGTGATATGGTGCACCCGGAAGAAACCACCTCGCCTCAAGGATAACCAGCTCAAATAAAATGTATTCATGCTCTTACCTTGACACGTGTGACCTTTGTCTAATAGCTTTCCTTCTCTAATCCTCCTCCTCCTCTCTCTCTCTCTCTCTCTCTCTCTCTTTCTCTCTCGGAATTCTGTATTTTGCGTAAGGTTCGAATAGGTCATGCAAAGAGTTGACTAATCATCTGGACTTACTTTATGCAATAATTAAAAGGTGTGCGGAGTAGAACGATCGTTCGAGACAGGCCTGGTGTTATGGCCTTTTCACCAATGAAAGTGGAATGAAAATACACAATGCAGCAGACTATCGCAAACCTTTAGGAGGGAGGTAGTGTTGCTGGTGGAAACAAAGGAAAATGGCATTTAGTTGGAGAAAAAATGATTTGGCCAAGTGAAAATATAATTAACCGAAATCATCGCAAAATACTAAATACATACTTTCGCCCCATTAGTACTAAAATATTGATTGATTCCTTTAGGTTTAAGGATGAATTCTGGTGCACTTTAGATATTTCGGATTAAAGTCTATTATGGTTCCGTCAGTACAAAGAGAACTTGCGTTTTTCCCAAAATGTGCTGATCATGGAAAAATAGTTAAATTATCCCATTAAGACTATCGCCATCTCAAAATTAACATATATAGCAAACTGCATGATGGAAAATCGATTTGAGGATAATGGTATTAGTACGGAAGGGAACTAGATCATTGTCTTTTCTGCTCCTTCTGAAATCCTCAAGAACACAAGTTGTTTAGATGGCCTCCATAACGAAAAGGAAATATTTTCCATGATGCCATCTTGAAGTCACGTCCCCAAACATCAATAAATTCCTACCCCACCCCACCCCCCTCCCCTCCCTATTGTTTATGTGCATACAACAAGTTCAGTGTAGTCTTAATTAATCACAACAGAATTAGTAGGTTTAATTTTTAAATGATGGCTTTCGATGACCCTATCTTCCATCATATCTCACCCAATCTCTAATTCACCGCCGTATTAAAATCACAGAAGAAACAGAAATAAATCTACTCGAAGTAACAAATGGATCTGAGATGAATAACAATTTTTTTGCCACGCTTATGACTTGTGAGTCCATGATATCATTGCTTTTTGTTGATCAAGCAAACGCATTTGCTGGTGATCTAATTGGATTAAGTGGTGGGATTTATGTGCTCAAGTGACTACCATCCAGTATTCGAATTGACCCTAGCTCCGATTTTTGCTGAAACATAAAATTATGCAAAAATGCGACAATTCATCAGTCACTTTGTCTTTGAAGTAGTCTGGTGAACTATAGTTTAAATTGTTCATTCCTATTTTCCTAATTTTAAACAGCTCCTAAAGTCACCTATTGATTATTTCACTCTTTATTGAACATTAGTCACACCTTACTGCATTTTCATGAAATTATCTATTCTCTCTATGGGAAAATGGAAATGAGGTCAATTTGTGCAAGCCACTCTACCATGAAGTAGAAAATTGGCAATGTGATTAAAAAACAGAGGTAGACAATGTGGGAAATCGATAGAGTTTAGGGCTCGAGATGTGTCACTCGGATCACTTTGGAGACGATGGTATGAATTCATGGGCACGTTTCACTTTCTGTATTGCTTCTGTTTCGTGTACACGAGTCTGTGCTTTCGAGAGTGTATTATACAAAATGTTATGGGGATGGTTCATTATCATAAAATGGTTTCGTTGAGGTGTGCTTTCTATCCTAGACAAAGGGCTTACCACAGAACGCCTATTAAATAAAGAGACCATCGAAAACACAATGGATGCCATTTGGAGCCATTTTGTAGAGGAAATCTCAGGTGTTGCAGTTCACTAATGCTCCATGGATGCAGATACTTGTGCCCACATCTGTTTGTCATGGAAGGTGCATTTTGTTATTTGTCTTGAGAGTTGTGATTAAAAATGTGACTGGTGATTGTGTTGTTGATGAAACTAAAAATACCTGACTCTAAAGGAAGGACAGGGAGAGGGAGAGAGAGGAGGCCTGCAGTTCAATTAATTGTGTTTGTTTTAATAAAATTAATGTACATATTTAAATTCCCACCTGTTTGACACTTGGTTAGTGGGCGTAGCATGCAATTGCACATCGACCAGTCGCAGACTTCTATCCAATCAGAATTCAAGATTCTCTAAAACCAATGAGGATTTCTTGTGTCATCATAGGCAGGATATAATCAGCTTGTCATGCCACTTCACAGCACAATGATTAATGCTTTTCGGTAAACATTTTCTGACTATTTGCCCTTTCATATTAATTTAGCTTTGCAAAGTATAAGCTAAAAACTATTTAATGGTATATTTGTCAAGTACTTAATGTGTGGTTAAAATGGGAAATATGAAGTCGATGCAAAAATCGAGCTCAATTTATTACCGAAAGTAGAATTGTACTTATTCTATTTGCGTACACAAATAATTGATTATAGTAATGCTTTCAGTACTCTTTAGTCAAGAAATCAGCTAGAATTTGTTTGTTTTAGCTGCTAGTTGCGCCAATTGTCTTCTTGAATGTCAAATTCCCGCCTTTTTACTTTAATAATAAATCTTGAGCTAAGAGGTCTCCGCAATCATGAGCTCACCATCTTGTGCTCATGAGATTCATTTTATCAGACTTGATATTGCTTTGCACTCCACATTTTCCCTTAAGTTTCATCGGTAGTATATTCTTTCGCTGACTAGTTAATCTATTTTTGCAAAAAAATCGTCTAGCGCACGAATCTGTAGCTCATAATTTTCATTTGCATGTTTAGGTAATTGTTATAATTTGAATTATTGATAATTAATTTCGCTCAGAATAGGCTTCTGGCTTAAAAAGGCCCCTTAAATTTCGTCGAGATAAAAATCAGTACATCACAACGGTGACTAGCAGGTTAGATCGAAAGAAGGTTTTAGATAAAGCATCTACAAGCGAATAGATCTATTTAGTCAACTGGACAGTGTGGATAAGAAATCACTACCTAATCAAGTATTGAAAGACCAGACATGACACGCTACTAATAAAAAAAACTCCTCTTCCCTTTTCTAGGTTAAATTATTTTTCGTGATGTCTAAATAATGAATTGTATAGTATAAATAAATAAACTATTATCCGCTTTCTGTTGAGAAATTTCACAAATGTTGCACAATAGACTTACCTCCACATGGTGCACCCTGGGCAAAGTATACTCATACGGCAAAAAATCTATTAAGCCGCAGTTGAATTCTGACTTCAAACTACCATGACCCGACTGTATATCATATTCTACAACTTTCACAGTACTCACCTCACCTTTTTCCACCTTTGTGTCTGTCTCCTTTGCATCTGTTAATCACTCTTCTGTCCTCCCCCCCCCCCCCGACTATTTTTTATTTTGATGTTCCTTCCTCTCTGTAAAGCGGAAATTCAACTAAGGGGCTAATGATAACTATCAAAACGCCTTCCATTTGATATAAATCATTGAACAGACAGAGCATCGTCCCTTATACTGGCAGAAATCACGTGCTCCAAATTCATCTGCGCAGATTCATTCATTGACGCAGCTTAATTGAATGAGTAAGAGTGATGAGCAGATGAGATGGAAGAGTTTGACAGTTCAGAAAACAATACACAGCATATCCGATTTGCTATGCAGCAAAATATGTACTTGACCCTCAAAGTTAATGGAACTCGTTCAGGGTGGATACCCAAGACACTGGCTGCCATCAAAAGAAATGATGATAGCATCGTGGTGACTGTTCCCAAACCTTTCAAGGACAGTCCTCCCATGTTCCGGTATTACTTTATCCATTCTAAAGACTAGAACCCAAAAATTTCTCTTCCGATCGGTTTTGGGAAAACTTTTATAGCAAGAAGCCATAAAATGAAATTGTCTTTACATCCTAACAATTGCGTAAACTGAGTGTAATCACTGCATTATCATTAGCCCCACATTGCAAGTAGTTAACAGCAACTGACTGCGTTACACACATCAAATACCAATAGGAAACGAAAGCAAACCAAAAAACGTCAAATGTCATCATGCCTATAAAATAAATTAATAAAAAACAGTTTCATTTGATCGATTTTTTTAATGTTTTAAGTCTTTTGAGAATACACAAATTAGCAAACATCCGAGCTAACCCTTGGGGGAAAGAAAACTTTGAAATTCATGTACTTCTTTCGCCCGAAAGTTTGAACTATGTGCGTCAGATTTCCTGACGGTTATGTTGCAAGCTGAATTTATAAATAAATGAGCTATTATTAATTAATAACTTTTGACTAACGTGGATAATTCTCACTGTTTTAACAAAATTATTTTTCATCTCATTGGGCGTGAACAAATAAATTGGCAGATAGGTACTTTTCTTTCTGCAAGAAGTTACCAATCGATTAAATAATGAACGTTTGGTTGCCATGGTGTGCATTGGGAAAAATGCCCGAGAATTTACTTTAGGCATTGTCTTTCTAGTTTGCCGGTGTGATAATAATGACATTCGGACATTTTTCCAAAAGTGTTTAAAGAATTGGTTTTGACTACTTCAGTCTTTGGAATGACCTTGAACAGTAATACCTATTCAATAATATAGTTAAAATAGACGTATTTATAACAAATGGCAGGCGTTTTAATAGTTATCATTCGCCCTTTAGTTGATTTCGGGCTTCACAGAGGGGAGGAGGAACATCAAAGTGGGATGGCTTCACAGAGGGGAGGAGGAACATCAAAGTGGGAAGAATTCAGGAGGAGGAATAGAAGGTGTAAAAGAAACAGACACAAAGGCTCAGAAAGGATAAGGTGAGTAGTGGTAGGGGTCGAATATGATATACAGTGGGGGTGGTGGTTGTTTAAAGTGAGAAGTCCACTGCCGATTAATGGACTTTTTTGCTGCATGAGTATACGGTGCCCAGGGTGCACCACGTGGAGGTAAGTCTATCGCACACCCCTTTAAAATAGACGTAACCTTGAGGAAACACTAGCATCAATATCATTGCCCATTTCGGCCAGTAATGCCTCATTTGATCGATTGAATGAACATCACAGGGAGCGAGAAGGATTAACTAATCAAATAATATATGAATGTTTAATGCAAGCTGAAATATAAGCTACCTATAGTCAGCCAATAGTGTGGCGGCGAGGTTTCATTACCATGTCCTAAAACAACGCCCATAAAAGTGGAAAATTCAGTGCAAATTGTTACATCATTCAAACGAGCACGCTGCGACCATGGATATGAGTGCTGTTTTGGGGCCTTCTGCTCGTTTCAAATAAAATTGAAATGAGGCAATGGAAATTCAAGTGAGTGTAGGCGTTTTAACCTCTTATTACGCTCGAATTATTTTTAGAAAGATGCCCCCAGTCGCTCTCATACATCTCTCACAGCAACAGACTGATGCAGCCGATGTGATGAGTTTTGGTGGTGCATCAGGCGAAGGCTATAGACATGCATTGAACATGTTTCAAACGGCAATAGCACCTTCTGTTACGAGTCTGCTACCAATGGAGGCTATTTTGAAAGAGGACCGTACAGTCCAAAGGACGTTATAGGGTTCAATATATAAGGTATAACCTTTTCGAATGTGCCCCTAAAGACAAACATCATTAATTTTGGGGAAAAATCAGCATATTTTATTGTCCAAATTGTTTTTTGTTAACTTTTAACTGAATATTTTGCCTGATAGATGAATTTAGCAAACACAATAGCTAAAAATTGACTCGGGTATTGAAAATATTCGATTCGACCACTTGCCACGTTTCTCTTAATCTCCTTGGTCCTGGATTTGAAAACATATTATTATAATTCTTAACGATTTTGTTCCAGCTTTTGACATTGAGGCGTTTACTTCTTATTGTAAAACTGTTTCAAAAGTGTTTACCGAATTGGTTTTGACTACTTCAGTCTTTGGAATGACCTTGAACAGTAATACCTATTGAGAATTGGAATAGTAATTCAATAATGTAGTTAAAATAGACATTTGGGAACGCTTTTTGGGATTCAACTGGGGTTTTATTTGAAAAAAAATCGAATCTTGATTCACAACGCATAATGAATTTTGTATAAAGCAATATTCCATGAATTGGAGTCAGAGATTTCTTAAATTAGTTTAGTTTTGATTTTCGCTGTGTTATAAATTTTAAGATGACATTTCTTTTAGTAGACTACTAATGGCACTAAAACGACCGGAGCGCACTTAAATGTTTTATTTTTATTTATCTTAAATGGCAGGCTTTATGACAGTTATCATTAGTCCATAAGTTTATTTCGGGCACCACAGAGAGGAGAAACATCAAAGTTACATAAAACGTTGAGAGGTAGAACAGGAGGGTGATTCACAGATATAAGAGAGACAGATAGACATAAAGGTAGAGGAAAAGGTAAGGTGAGGTGAGTACTGTGGAAGTGGTCGAATATGACATAGAGTGGGGTCATAGTAGTTTAAAGTCAGAAGTCAATTGCCCGTTTATAGGCTTTTTTGCCGAAAAAGAGTATGCGTTGCCCAGGTTGCACCATGTGAAAATAAATCTATCGCTCACCCCTACGGCATAATAAAACCTATGGCTTTTTTGCAAATCTTTCCCATTTGCTCATGTCATTTTTCATTCCTCCATTTTAAATTAACTCGTATAGGTGTTGGAAACGTAGAGGTGGAAAGTATTAGTGCATAATCGATAGTCATTTCACGCGTGCACGAAAAAATATGCATATATTCGCGTGTTAATTAGCCCTATATTTATCGATTTTGGCATTTTTGGAGTATTTGTGAAGGTAACTGCGTATTAATCGCATCGTTGGTCAAGTTTAGGGGAATAAAATTAGGCTTCCACTTGGATGCGTGGTGTTCTGACCCAATTTTGGGCAACAGTTAATGAATTGTTGAAATTTGTTGCAATTCGAGCCTTATTAGCGCAATTGTTTGAGTGACCCCTACCCCACCCCCGTCATTTTGTTTCCACAGGATTTGGCAACCCTCAAGCGTAAGGACAAATGCGCAATAAAAATAAACGGTCAACCGTAAATAACCGTGATTTTACTCTGTAGAGAAGAATTTCAATTCAACTTATTGATTTTAATTTGCTTTCTTACCTGGGTGCACTATCGATTAGTGCTTTTGGATTTTCGCACTTTTACCGCTTTGATTTTCCCGTAATTCGAGAAACTATAACGCCATACATGGCCAAATAAACCTGATTTTCTGTCAGACAAGTGCACTTTGTTTCATATTTATATTTCTTAAAACTTAAATGTTGTAAAGCACTTTAATAAATACCAATAAGAAATTTATTGAAAACAGATTTATCTCATTTTGGAAATTTGGCTTTAATCTTATTAATTAATCTTATTATGGGGTGTGCGATAGACTTACCTCCACGGGGTGCTCCCTGGGCAACGTATACTCATACGGCAAAAAGTTAATAAACCGGCAGTCGACTTCTGACTTCAAACTACCATCTTCCCACTGTATGTCATATTCGACTACTTCCGTAGTACTCATCATACCTATTCTGAGCCTTTGTGTTTCTCTGTTTCTTTTACATTTGTGAATCACTCTTCTATTCTCCCTCCCGAATTCTTCTCACTTTGATACTCCTCCCCCCCCCTTCTGTGAAGCCTGAATTCAACTAAAGGGCTAATGATAACTATCAAAACGCTTGCCATTTGATATAAATTAATTAATTAATTAATCTTATTATTAAGACATTTTCGCCAGTTGGAAAGTGCTGGGCGAAAACTAGGTCATGATATAATCGATTTCCTTAATATCATTATTTTTTATTGCAGAAAAATTGTCTCCAATTGGTACGGCCTTTTATAGTCATTCTATAAATATCTTATTTTTTCATCTTAAAAGATAGATGTAAACTTTAGTTTGCGATAGTGGATGATGGAGGAGTGCTAACTAGTCATCGTTATCACACAAGTAAACCCCTGCGTTTGACAATAAGCGACAGTGTATAAACAGTGGTAAATTTTGGTTAGCAAACTAGGTGCAAAACTGTGAGCTTCTTGCCTGGGCAGATATCAGAGAATATCACTCATTTTCTCAAATCAAGTTAACGCTTTCTGTAGCAGATTTTTAAAGTTAGATGATGAAGCTTAACATTTAACCGAGTTAAGGACATATTGTAAGAATTCAAATTTTACATCATGCTTTCCTCTGCAATGGAACAATTTGAGCCTTTTGTGAATTAGGCTAGTATTGAGGCGCTATAGAAGGTGTGGTCTAAATAATGTTTTATGTTGCATCTTCAGATTCATTGAACAAGATGAATTCGAATAACGATCTATGAGATCAAGAAGGTGGGGTTTTGGGAGCATTAAAGGTTATAGTATTGGGAGCAAGCAACTAGCTTGCCATAGTGGCTCCTTCTGCTTCAAAGAGTATGGGATTGTGCCGCAGATGGCTACACAAATAAACCTTGTCTACACTCTGTAATCTCTATGGTAGATTCTCCTATGTCTGGAAAGTCTCCCAGAACTAGTTAAGCTACCGCACAAAAGTTAAAGAGGAAGCAGATATATCCCACGGAACACGTTTATTTGGGATGCGCATGAATGGTGCGTGAACAGACAAGGAGCTTAGTCATTATATTAATATGGTGGATTTGATAAACCAAAAGGGGGCTATTGATTGACGGTTGACTGTGGGTTCTACGCACTCACGACCGCACTTATTCCCTACTCGAAGTTGCACGGCGCACCCTCAAGCCTATCTGGGTGCGCATGAAGCTCTTGGTCGGAGGTGACGTTGCGTGTCCCACAACTGTAATGGTGCATATCACAGGATCCAACTTCCATCGATCCATTGTACGCTTACGTTGAAAAT